TCCCCGCCCCGCCTGCCCTGCGCGCTTCCTTTAACTGGCTCAGGCAGCCATCGCCAAAGTCCTGCACAACGAGGACAGGCACAGGATAAAAGCCTCGCCGTTTGTTGGGCTGGTGGTGGACGAGACGGTGGACGTCCTGGAGCACCGCAGCCTCGCCATGTTCACCACCACCGTCTCCCCCTGCAACGGGCAGACCTCCGCCACCTTCCTGGGGAGCTTCGAGCTGCCCACCGGGGAGGCCTCCACGGTGACGGGCAAGGTGGGCGAGGTGATGCGCTCCTTCGGCATCCCCACCATGAAGATCACCTGGCTCAGCGCCGACAGCGCCTCGCTGGTGGCCGAGCGTCTGAGCGGGGTGGGGACCGCGCTGACCTCCCTCTGCCCGCTCCTCATGGAGATGCGCTGCCTGTCCAATGGGAGCACCCTGCTGCCAGCCGAGAGCATCGTCAGCATCGAATACCTCCAGAAATACGAGACCACCGTGGACGCTGTGTACAGGCTCTACTCCAGCTTCAGGGGGGAAAGCAATGGCCTGCAGGAGCTGCGGAGCGTCCTGGACCTCTGTGAGATAGACCTCGGAAACCCCAAAGCCATCCACTGGACTTCTATTTTCCCAGCCGTGGAAGCCATCGATTCCTCCTGGCCCACACTGGTGCTGCTGCTGGAGAGTGAGGCGGAGCGGTCACCCGTAGCCCGTGGCCTCTGCGAAGAGCTCAAGAAGTTCCAGTTTGTGGCCTTCACCAAGATCCTCCTGGACGTCCTCCCCATCTTCCAGAAACTCAGCCGCTTCTTCCAGATCGAGGACTTTGACCTCTCCATCCTGAAGCCCATCGTCTCTGCCACGGCCACCACGCTGCAGGCCCAGAAGAGCACCAGCGGCCAGAACCTCCAGGAGTTCCTCAACGAGATGAACGAGCACCCGCGGGACGACCGGGAGGGCGAGAGCCGCCTCTACTACAAGGGCGTTGAGCTGGCCAACTGCTCCAAGGTGCACCTGAAGCACTTTGAGTGCCTGAAGGAGAGCTACCTGGAGAGCGTGCGGGGCAATCTGCTGGACAGGTTCCCCAGCGGCGTCCTGGAGGCCATCAGCTCCTTCTCAGCCATCTTCAACCCCAAGTGCTACCCCCAGTCTTTGGAGGACATTGGCAGCTATGGGGTCAGCGAGCTGAATTTCCTCCTGCAGGCTTACTCCCGGGTGGTGGTGAGCGAGAGGGCCCTCAGTGATTTCCCCCTCTTCAAGCGGATCGTCTTCAGCCTCAGCCAGCTCTCCTTCAAAGACCTCTGCGTCAAGCTGGTCTACAGCAACTCCGAGATGCACGAGCTCTTCCCAGACTTTGCCATCCTCGCGGCCATCGCTCTGGCCTTACCACTGGGCTCGGTCCTTGCCGAGAAGATCAGCCGGGGCCGGGAGCTGCTGAAGCGTGGCCGGTTGCGCCGCGCGAAGGACGAGGGGCTCTCTGACCTCATGAAGATCGCCATCGACGGGCCGGCCATCAATGAGTTTGACTTTGCGTTGGCCATTGAGTACTACGAGAGCATGAGGGAGTCTGGCTTCATCGTGGCACAGGTGAAGTGAGCAGTGGCCGGCGAAGGCAGAGCCCTGCGGGCAGGGAGCCGGGTCCTGCGGGCAGCCCCGTCGACGTCACCTTTCCCCATTGCTGGTGACCGCCGGGGCCAGGCGGCCGCTGGTGGGTGGTGACCTGCTCTGTGCTGGGAAGAGGAAACGCCATCCTTAACAAAGCCATGCTGGTCCCACGACCACCCCTCCCTCAGCCCCCAAACATCTGTCTGAATTGACCAGAATTTAAAATCTTGGGGCCACCTGAAATTCCAAATTGCGACGAGGTTTTTTTCAAGGGTTTGTTGTTATTTTGTTTTAGGGAGGTGAAGGCAAATCTTCTCTTGAGCGCAAATGTCACATTGCCTTTGCACAATGATACCCAGCAGCTTTTACTTAATACTCTGCAAAAATATCTGATTTTTGTTGTTTTGGAGCCTCGAGAATGAATGCAGAAAAGGCAGCGCATCTTTCTAGCTCCATGGCAAACCCCGAAATGCCTGGCGGTATCTTGTTGGTATTCCTTGCGCACAGCTCAAAATATTTTTAGCAGTGGCATCAAGTCATGATCATTTCAAGAGCAAGAGATTTAGAGAATGATATTGTAATCACTGAGGAAATAGTAACTTTTAAATGCATCATTGTGTATATATGTGTATGTGTATATATATATAAAAATATAT